GATACATACAGTGAGAGCAAAAAGTATTTGTACAAGGAAATTTGTTATTAAAAAAGCCTTATTCGTAGAAAATAGATATTAATTTTAGAAAATAGACAGCAATTTTATACAATGAATATATTCTATTCTAATATAAACGAACAAGCTTAGCATGTATTCCTGATTTTAGAAGCTAAATTTCGTACGAATACTTTTTGACCATTCAAACAATACAATTTTTAATTTTCGTTTATTTTTTAGATGATATATTTTGTATAATTACATACACATCATTTTGATATATATAATTTTAAGAAACATATAGTCTATTTTATTCTTTATGAATAAAAATTGTTAATTATCCAACAAGAAATGATCGTTAATTAAACATCGAATCTACGTCAATTTGGTGTTAAAATCATCGAATTTATATCGATTTGACATCAATTCGATGACACATTTCTTTCTGGATAATATTTATTTTTTAAAAATAGGTTTTTTTAAAAAATATTTTCTCTGTACCAATACTTTTTGTACTCACTGTATATATTATAAAAATGATCGACAAAATCGATAGATACTGACTCATCAAGGAAATAACTAAAAGTTTTCATTATCTATTTAAACAATTAATCAAAATCGATTACAAATAATACAATAGCGACATATTGTTTTGTTTGTTCTGATAAAGATTCGAGTATGTACGGCTGTTGATGGTGTAATATGATGAAATTTTCGCAACTACGCATGTGAATATAGAACATAAATGCGGGATATATTCCTGGATATCCGAGACTTCTATCATTTTACGTAATAGCATCTAATGAAACACTGGAATATAATCGGGGTCGTTGACGATTGTATAATAAACGCTTCGCGATCGCGCGCGTGCACGCGATCAAGAAAAAAGAGAAATTGAACCTTGGGTTCTTAAAAAAGGACTATCGATGATATTTGATGTAGTAAATGTTCCGTTCGAAAAGCGGTAGTTTATATTGCGTGTACATTTCACAAGCTTGTTGCGCCACGACATAAAAAAAGATCGTTCGCATACCAGCGTGCCGTTGAAAAATTAAACAGAAAAAAAAACAGGAAAAAAAAGATTCCTTTTGGGGACATTAAATAAGAAAATTAAGATGTCACAAATTCTTCATAAAGTATACTTAAACTTTTCCTTGATTTTCAGGAACCAAATTTCGTAATTTTCTTTCAATATTTTGAAATTTTTTGACCTGATTTGGAAACGTCAAATATTTTGTCGAGAGAACTATTTAACGTAGAATGTTAATTACTATGTTAATTAACGTTGCTGATGACACTTCTTGCATTTTTAATTGTTAAGTTGATAATATTCCAAAACTACGTAGATGTGATGCAGCCATACTAAATGTTTTTAAAGTAAAAAATATTTTATAAAAAATTTTGCAAAATTTCCTGACACTTCTCTAATTTCTCTGATTTCCAATCTTGCAACAACCCTAGAGATGTAGAAATATAATACGTTATTTATTTAAATTTGATTCGAATTCAAAAATTCGAATCAGAAACAAATGGCGATTTTCGAAGAATCAAGCCTCAAGTTAATAGACAAAGTCATAGGTGGCTACAATACAGCAGAAATTTAGTTTAATGGCGTATAAATAAGAGGATAAAGAAACCAGATCAATTCTAATAAAGTAGCAAGTCGTAAATAAGTCATAATGATGCGAAGGGAGAGCAAAACTGGAGCAACAGTGTATCGTAAATAACTTAAAGACCAATCAAAATAAGACAGATTGGCTAATAAAAAAAGAAAAGACGAAGCATCTTATTGACACTTGTTTAGAATTTCTTTCGTCCGATTTAAGAGACTTAATAACAGAGGAAGGGAGAGGGAGAGAGGGAGAGAGGGAGAGAGAGAAAGAGAGAAAGAGAGAGCGAGAGAGCGAGAAAGCGAGAAAGCGACAGGTCCGATAAAGAATCCGCGAGAGCGACAGAGACAGAAGACAGGATCACGTGGCGTTAGACAGAGACGGAAACGAGCGTCGCCGGGAAGCGCAAGTGAGATGAAGCGTTGTAATCAGAAAAAGAGACAGAGCGACGATCCCGTACATCAAAGAAGCAGAGTGATTGCGTCAAACCACACACACGCACACTCTTTCCTATGTTCGCCCAAATCCCATTGAGTTTACGAATTACAATTAGCGATATCATCACAAGTCTGTTTTTTTTTTATGGCTAAACTAGTATAAACTTTTAAAATTTAAAATAAGATAGGTCGATACGTTTGTGGCGAAAAAGAGAGAGAGAGAGAGAGAGAGTTCTAGTACAGTTTAGTGCGGAGATAAAAAAAAAAAACAGATCACATGTTAACGTCTGTCGGACGTTCAAACGATACAACCGCAAGTAAAAATTCACGTCATCCTGAATCCATACGGTCGATCCGAAAATAAAGACACGACTTTCACGCACTCTCTCTCTCTCTCTCTCTCTCTCTCTCTCTCTCTTATGCGCGCGCGCGCGCGCGCAAGCTACTCACCTCCTTTTCTCCTTGTGTTTCTTCTCCTTCTTGTGGGTGTCCATGATGAGGCGACGTTACGGTGGACCAAGGGATGATCGCAACGCGCTTCGCCACCAGCAGCACCGGCGCACGAAAACCAGGACACTCTCGGTCACTGCCAAGGAACGTATCCGGGGGCGTGCGCGCGAGCGCGTTAACGAGCTGCGCTCTTTTCTAACCGGCCGACCTGACGGAAACTTGGCTCACCGCACTTTGTTCACCTATAAGTCTATAAGTCTTTCTGTCTCTGTCGCACCGTAGATCTGTCTCGGCGTCGGTATCGATGATCGATGCTCGCACGCGACGCGTGTCACTGCTCGACGTCGCGCTGCGCTGCGACGGCTACGACCGAGAGACAATTCAGACAACGGGCAACGACGCTTTTCGACACTAATTCCGACGGGCGCACGGTAACCCGCGAGAGTAACGACAAACTCATAGCGTCAACGATCACGACGAACGAGACGTTGTCGGTACCGTGAACGGCTACTGGCGAACGGCGGGACTCTGTTATTATCGCGTTGCGCCCGATAATCCGCGATGCTGGTGTCACGACTACATACGCGAGCGGAATGGAATGACTATCCGAGGGGTCACAGGGGGGTGAGATGAGCGCGCGCTCGACGTCACGCGGTCAGACTACGCCATCGGGCGACGTCCGCGAGAAGTAGCGAGCGACCTAGACGGCACGCGGCAGATTTGAACCGTTAACATCTCTGAAAGCTTCTCTCATGAAATCGTAACGAAGGCTTTTCTATGATTAAGGCAGGAGAAGAGACCTTTGCATAATACATGGTGCGTAAAGTATAAGAAGATGAACTAATGAAAATCTTTTATTGCATGAAAAAGTAGGAAACGTGGAAGGATTTTGATTGGCTCATTTTCTTATACAAGAAACACAGGAGGTTATGCAAGCCTCCGTGCTCTTATTTTTAATAATATTCTGTATCTATTTATTCGATTTACCTGTTCCTTCCTATACAACATAATCCTCCAAGAGATGTCCTAAGGATGTCCAGAGGGTATTCTAGAACATTTTGTGGGCGTCCTCGAGATATTACTCGAAGAATTGTGTAGTAGATTGGAAAGGATCGTATATTGTCTTCCGAGTCAGCAGGAGTCAATTTTTTAGAGAAAACCTTTATAGTGCATCCTAAAGATATCCCTTAAAGTGTGCCGTGAAAAGAAGATAGATTTAAATGCGGAAAAAGTAGAGATACAAGTTTTAGTTTTGTACTTCTTTTCACATTTTCTATATTTAAATATAGTATTCGCATATTACAAAGAGGAAAAAGAATAAAAAAGTGAAAGTTGTAATATAAATTATAAATACAAAGAAAAAGAAAGTTTTTCTTTCCAGACAGAACTGAAATTCATTTCGAGTTATATTACTTTGCAAAGAGAATATATGTAAGATTTAAATATAGTGAAATTAAATTTGTTATATATATTACTATTCCAGCTTCGGTTCAAGACTGTTTTCAGCAACAAATAATCGATGCACTGGAAATGATACAAGTTCACAAGAAATATTATTTAATAAAATATTAATACGAAGAACCGAATATAGCATTTTTCACTCATGTGTCTACATATAGCAGTAAAGTTCTTCGACGGACCCCGGATTATTTAAAGCCACAATTTTACTTGCTCCAAATAGTTCACAAACTTGATAGATCTAATTTTAATTGCGTAAATGTTTTTTCAAAAAATTTATTTTGAACTATACAGGCAACAGATAAAATTAAGTTTCTTAAAAAGTAATTAAGATAGTAAGATACATGTAAGAAAGAGACTACTATTGCTAATCCGCCGCGTTTTGACTAGCAACTACCATCTTTCTCTTGTCCTCGCTACCTTCCTGTGGCTGCTTCTTCTGTTGCTCCTCTTTCCCTCTTTCCATCTCGTCGTCTTCCAGGTCGTCTGTCGACATGCCCTTGCTCTCGTACAGAGCCGGGTATTGCGACATGCAGCTCTGCATCGTCTCGAACGCAACGCGACAGTCCGAGCCTTTTGGGTCTGCGGTGGAGTAGTGGAAGCAGGAGAAGGCTTCACGGAATTCTAAACCGCATGGTCCAGTCGCCATGCCTCCTAGACACGGGCAGTTCCAATTGATCTCGCCATTGGGCAGCAACAGTCCGGGACTGGGCTCCGGTTCAGGAAGACTGATTTTGCTGGGTGCTGCATGATCCTCCTTAGAAGCGAAGATAATGGTGTCCTTGCCCTCTTTACGTATCAATGGCATGGCGAAGAATCAAGAGGGACTTCTCCGTGCTGGAACGTCCTACTGTCAGCAGTGAACGACAATAAATTCGGCGATGCTCGGTGAACCGTGTACACGCAAGTCTTTCCCTCGTACTTTGTACTCAGAGTCAGACTCGCTCGCAGTCGGACGTAACTGTTGCGTGGACAGCGTAAGACAAATCTACGCTTTTCAGGAGTGAGCTTTAGAATGTCTACAGGACTCTTGGCACCTTCCTCCCCGAACAGCGATCGGACGGCTTCCAAAATATTCTTCTTGAGATACACAGGGGACACTATCAGATTGGGATCGGATGGAATTTCTCTACAAATAGAAATAAGCTTTGCTGTATCCTGTATAGTAGACAAGAGTTTTCTAAGCATGCAAATCTCCCGGTTCTCGGCATCGAACGGTCGTCGTGCTCGCTCGACAATGGGATTGAAATTCGAGGGAGTGACGCGTACAGGTTATGTCATGCAGTGACTAGTCATGATCACGTCTACGTATGATGAAATAGTGAATGTACTAACAGAGAAACGTCTAAGTAATACATCTTACGATGATGCGCCGACTCGCTGCTCATGTCGACCTCGCGTACCGAGGGGTAGACATCGTAGAAATCCTACGGACGGTACTTACACGCGATGCACTGACTTGCTACGGCGTCCGAGCGGTGCCTTCGTCTCACGTGCTCTCGCACTCTGTCGCACTCTGTCGCACTCTGTCGCACTCTCGCAGTGGTGGGCAGCACTGACAGCAGCGCCGATGCAATACTGCCAAAACGCGTTTTCCCAAGAAAATGTAAATCTATGCCTTCAAATTTTCTTCCGAACTTTCTCGAAGAGAGAATTTTCTATCTTTCTCTTCTCTTCCATGAGCCTCGGATGAATTATTTCATTCCGAGTGCACAAAGTGTAAGCGAAGCGCAGTGCGATGAAGGGGATTTAAATCCCGTCTTTTAACACCACGCGTTGCGACTCCAATTAGACGATAATCTCTCTACGAACGATATACATACCCTATTATGTTATATTACAATTAATCAGAATAACAATATGTGTACATATTAAAAAAGTAAATGAAAAATATTATTGTACTGTAAGAGAAAAATTCAAGCGATTTTTATCGACTCGACAATTGAATAAGTGACGTACAAGTACAAATTTTCAGACACAAATTCAAATTGCTGTTCAAGTGTCTCGAAGCGTACGAATAAATAAATGCGTATCCTGTAAAAAAAAAACCGTAAAAATTGGACGTTTCACAGCCGTCGCTTTCGGAGCGTGTAAACCCGGCATTAGCCCGATCTCGACGATCGACCACGCGTGAGTGCCGGCGAGGCGAGCGTCCGTCGGGCGTCGGGCATCGGGAGGGGAGCCCGTCGAGGGTCCCCCAGGAACTCGGCTCTCAGTCGCAGCTCGGCTGTCAGTGCGCGACGATCGAGCCGCGTTCATCTGCCTGCGTTGCGCTTCGCGCATACATACACACACGTACATACACACACCCATACGTACATTATATGTCAATGTAAAAAAAAATACATACATAACACGTACGCACGCACGCATGCACGTTTCACGCGTCCGCACGCAGGCCGTACGCACTACTACGCACGCCGCGGTGTGTAAGACGTGCTCTACACGTCCATCCGAATCGTAGATCGTACACGCGGACGCGAGGGTGGAAAACGGTCGCAGTGGTTTTTGTACATACGGTATAAGGGTGCACGTGAGGGGGGAAGAGAGAGAGAGTGAGAGAGAGAGAGAGAGAGAGAGAGAGAGAGAGCGAGAGAGACGTGCCGAGGAAGAGACGATCCGAGGAGGCGGAACGAACCGGGGGACCCATGCGTCGCACGATATAGACGGCGGCGGCGCACACACAGACGCGAGTCGCGACTGAGCGAACCGAACGCGCTACTACGCCCAGTCAGTCAGTCGGACGTCGGCACGGGCCCGACGACACCCCGACGATACTCCAGTGTTGATTACGCGACGGAGTTCCCACGGGTTCGCCTCGCGAGAAGCTGACACGCGGCGCGGGGTGCTGATCCGCGAGCGGGGCGGCGGGGATCGGCGACGACCGGGTTGCGCGACCCGGACCCTCGAGCGATTCGTGACAGTGAAGTGAAGCACGCGTGAGAGGTGGCCGCGAACAAGGAGAGACGAAGAAGACACCGGTCAGTGAGGTAGACGAAGAGAGAGAGAGAGAGAGAGAGAGAGAGAGAGAGAGAGAGGGAGAAAGGAAGAGGGCTGCAGAACGGGTGGTCCTGACAGCGAACGGTGACGAGAGAAGACCGACCGTCCTGAACGAGCGAACATTAAACGCCAGGGAGAGTAATAGGGGGCCCCCGTACGTAATTGGCACACTAGAATGAGCTTTTTGTCCGAAATAAAAGAAAAAAAAACAAAAAGAAACATGCGATAGTATAATGCTATAATACGTTTGCCGCACGCGCTGGACTTGTCTCGAGATCGAGCTTTCCTCGGTGTTGGATATACCCTTTTGGTCCAACCCTTGGCTAAGGCTATACCGCGGCGATGAGCTATATCCTTTTACTCCGACTCGCTCGAGAGTGCGTGAGTCCAGTCGGGGAGTATCGACGTGGTGGTCGTCACTGACCATCCCAGTAACTTCGTCCCCGTCATCGTCATCGTCATTGTTTTCAACAAACGCAAGGACGAATACTTCGAGTATCCACCTCGAGGTAGTCGCGAGCGGCGAGCGCATTCTCAGCCGGCCTCTTCCTCGCTTCCGCGACTTGACGCGCTTTGACGACGGCGAACGGGGGGAAGGCGACGAAACGGGGAAAATCAAAACGTTGCTCGAGACGACCGGAGAAGACCGTCGTCGAGGGAAATCATCGCGAGAGTTTCGCGTCATGAGAGCCTAGCGTTCGACACCGTGGGTCATCGTGGGTCGTCAGCGTCGGGCGTGCGAGAAGGGACGGCCACGGCGGCGCGCCGGCGGAATTGCCCGGATAGTAGGAGGAGGAGGGGGGGGAGGAGGAGGAGGAGGAGGAGGCACCCGACAACATGGCCGCCGCCTGCTACGAGAAGGAAGTGGTGGTAGGTGCCGCCATTCACCACGGGCATGGACACCATCATCACCACCATCACCACCACCATCATCATCACCATCATCACGGTAACGGAGTCGCGTCGTCCGCCGTCGGCGTCGGCGTCGGCGTCGGCGTTGGCGTCGGTGTCGGCGTCGGCGGGGTGACCGGGCAGACAGTCCTCCCGGCAACGTCCACAGGCCTCGACGATGCTGCTATCGCCGCCGCCGCCGCTGCTTCCGCTTCGAGCAACCCGTCGTCCTCCCAGGTGAACCCTGCCACCAATGCAGTGAACGCAGCTGTAAACGGTGGCACATCGGTGACGACTACGACGAGCGCGGCAGCTACCGCGGCCGCGGCTGCAGCCGCTGCTGCCGCGGCCACCGCCACCGCCACCGCCGCGGCTACCGCCGTGGCGATCAACAGCTACAAGGTGCAAGAATACAAGGACTACTCGCAACCGCTTCACGTGGACTGTAGCGTCGAGTACGAGCTCCCGAGCCAGGCGAAGCCACCGCCCGGTGGCGGCGAACCCCTCCTAATGATCCATCCGTGCTACTATCGACGCGCCGAGCGCGAGAGGAGGAGCCCTTTCGTCAATAATTTACCGCCCCCGGCGGCGCCGGCGACGACGCCTATGTCCGCCTCCCGCAGGAACGGTCGCAGGAGCGCGGCGACGGCCGCCGCCGTCACAGTCGCCACCGCGGCGGTCGCGGTTGCGGCGACTTCCTCGACGACTACGACGGTCGTCCCACCGTCGAATAATCCCATTGTCGTTTCCTCCAACGTTGTATCCGCTTCCGTTGTGTCACCGGCAACGTCTATCGCATCGTCCTCGGTCGCCGCGGCAGTGGTAGCTGCCGCAGATTCCGGTAGCGGTCTCATATCCACCAGTGGTCAAATGTCCGCTGTCACTATGGCTGCAGCCTCGTATCGCGCGGCCCTCAATGTCGCTGCCACCTTGTCTCAGCAACAGCAGCAGCAACAGCTGTCTCAGCGACGGCATCATCCTCAGCAGCAACAGCCACAGCCACAGCCGCAGCCACAGCAGCAGCAGCAGCAACCACCACCACCAACTCATCCTCATCATCATCATCATCATCATAGGAATCATACTCATGCTCCTCATCAGCACCAACAGCAGCAGCAGCAGCAGCAACAGCAGCAGCAGCAGCAGCAGCAACATCACCCTCAGCAACAACCTCAACAACGATCCGTAACACCAACGGCATCCGGTCCCGCCGATCTCATCTCCGCCGATGAAAAGGCAGTCATATCAGGTATTTATCAACATTACTTCCGCGCCATGCGCGCCCACAATCATCAACACCGCCAGCAGCAGCAGCAGCAGCAGCAGCAGCAGCAACAGCAGCAGCAGCAACAGCAGCAACAGCATCGTACCACTACCACTCATCAGCTCCATCATCAACCTCACCAAAGCGATCGCAGTTCCTCCTCTTCGTCGTCGGTCACGTCTCCGACGTCCGCGTCAATCTCCGGTATTCTACGACAGACTTATCAGCAGGCATACAGCAATATCGCGGCCACGAGCTCGAGCTCGGGCAGCCATCATCGTGCCGGCACATCGGCGATCTCGGCAATCGCCCATCATCCCTACAGGCGACCGTCGGTGACGTTGCTGTCGCGAACGGCCTCGCATATCAGCCAGCAGGCTTCCTCTTCCTCCTCCTCATCCATCTTCGGTGCTTCCAACGGCGTTTCTGCCGCGGCCGGCGTCTCCAGCGTATACGCGAGCACGATACACAGGCATCACGCAACTTCCCTGCACGCTCTTCAAGCCGCCGCCGGCTTCTACGAGACGCCGAGTTATCACGCCCTCCTGCCTCAAAGTTAGACGACAGCCATATGTCCGGGCGGTTTCGCGACGTTGGATGTCTACGCGTGAACGACTACGGCAACGCGGCGATGTGCGCTCGAGCAATCTACCGCAAATCGAAGCGAACGTGCGTCGAATTTCAATCTACTCGACCTTTTTCCTCCGTTCTTTATCATCGGGTTCATCGGTTTAATCGATAGAAATCGAGAGAACTCGATGAGAGAGAGAGAGAGAGAGAGAGAGGAAGTTGAGTCGAGACCTCGACAGTCCGAGAGCTGTCTCTCAGTTGGGAATTAAAAAGATGCTAGGAATTTCTTTTTAAACAGGCTTTTTCTTGGCGATATCTCGATATCGCGCGTTTTGCCGATAAAGCATAATTCATAACAGCATCGCGAACAATAAGATCACTTGTTCGGCGATCGTCCAGCGACGATCGAATTCAATACAAAACCTCCAATATCCTCGTTGTCGATTGTCGTTTACGCCGAGTATCCCCGACGTGTAGATTATGTACAGACTATCATTTTACGCAGACGATAATTTACGTAGACGATGCATAGTCGGCATAGGCGACACTTATTATGGCTGTGCTCTGTCCTCCTTTCCTCTTCTCTTCTTTCCCATTGTTGTTTGAGGAAACCTATACTTTATAACGTGATAATTTATAGCCGTCTTGTAGTTCCGACCGTTTTACGGTTTATTATTTTCTCGTATTCTCGTATTCTCGCATTGGAGGAAGTTCGATTGATAATCGTAATCAACGAACGATTATTGCTTTGACTTTTTCCCTTTGCGGAAATGTCTAATTTATATAGCGTAGTTCTCGCAGAAATAGATGCGAGAGGAGAGAGGATTCGCGTCACAAGGCGGAGAAAGCGCGTGGTATCTTTACGCGATTGCAAATGCGAACAGTTAAGAACGTTGCGTTACAGAACAGCGAAAAGAGAAGATCAGGCCTTTCTAAATCGAGAATAAGATGCGCGATGTAATAGTCCCCTCCCCGATTAAATTCGAAGAAACGCTAAAGACTTGGGTATACAAAGAGTCCTTTCGCGCACGGTTGATAATCTCAAATAATTTCCCTCGGTCTCCCTTTTTCAACCCAAACG